AACACGGCGTTGGAGAGGATCCCACAGAGAGAACACACTGTGAATTCAGAGCCTCCCTGCTGCCTCTGTGGCTGAAAGGGACAACCTTTTTCTTCCTGAAAGTAAGCAGCACTGCCCAAACGCTATTGCCTACCTGACTAACAGGAATGTAATAGCTCTGCAACTCAGGAGCCATTAGACTTGTAGCGACAAGCACAAACGGCTTGTTGCATCACATCCGAGAGTTTCTGACTGAGTCTGTGGGTGTGTGCGTGGCTTTGGTTAAAAAAACCAAAACGTTAAGTCAGATCAGGAAGTGTGATGCTGTGACAGAACAGGAGGAAGCTGGCTTAGAATGGCACTGTATGTCTTCACAAGTTAACATGAGAGGCCCCTGGTTGAAGACCCCTCTGCTGTTTCTGCTGCTGTTGATCAGCAGTCTGACTGGGACAGGTAAGGCAGGGAATTACTGCTCTCCTCTATTAGAAACCACTACGGTGTCATTTTCAGTCTCCACTCCCTGCTTTTCCTTTTCTCTCTAATCCTCTTTTGTCACTTTGACCGCATGATTTCCTTTTGACAGATACCTATTTTCAGCTTTTAGAGAGTTTGGGAATGTTGTCTCAGATTTGAGCAGACTTCCGTCAAATTCCAAAAAGCTCTTTCCAGGTTTCTCTTCTTCACACCAGGCTCAGTTCTTTGGAATCTGTTTTTTTTCTTCTTTTTTTTTCAGTTTTGTGACTCAAAGATAAGACTATCCTCACACTTATTTCCCACATTTCACAGTTCAATCTCTCAAAAAATCAATTGGATCATATCTTTGTTTTAAAAAACTTTTTTGGGAACAAGCTTTTTGAGATCTCATAGTTTTGTAACAATTTAGATGTAACTCTTTGTTGAGACGGAAGTCCAGAGTTCCTGCATGACTCATTTTTTATGGTTTTTTTTTCTTGTTATTAATATCAGAATCAGAGAATGCTTTATTACCAAGTAACATTTTAAATGTGACATTAATGAGGACATTGAATATCTATACCGGTATATATATAGATATATATATTTATACATATATATATCTATATATATATAAAGAGAAAATATTTGGAAAAAAAAGTATATGACCACATATCTAGTCATCAGTTAATATAAACACTGAACATGCACCAAAAAAATACTATAAAATCTAAAACAATAATAAAAAACAAAGTATTCAAATTAAAAGAATGACATTTTCATGGTAATATTTCAAAATCTAAGGGCTTACATTTTGTTAAGTTGTGCTTAAATTCAATCAAATAAGATAATAAAGTATTATTATAGGTTAGTAATATTGATGAAAATCAGTGTTAGGCTACAACTAAAAGCCAGACTGAATGGTTGCATCTTTATTTAGCCTTTAAAAACATCAAAGTTCTCAGATGCCCTCTGACCTTAAGGTTTCACAGCTGAAAGACCGCCTAAAGGCAAAGATGTGCTACTTTACAGTATCTTTTAGTTCTCACCCCAGGAACCAACAGAAGAAGCTCTCCAGTAAATGGAGAGGCATTGAGCCCTGAAGTTGCTGCAGTGGATCTATAGATATTCTAATAATATCCGAGAGCAACGCCTCATAACCAGTATTACAAGGTTAAAGGTATTAAAAGGTACTTCCACAGGCTCCCAGTACTACGACACATTAAATTCAAACTCCTCACCATTGGATATGGGACCCCTAAAAACCTCTCAGTTTCGATCAGCTGAAACTGATTTCCTGTCATTTCCCATTAGGACAAAGCTTAAGACCTAGTGCTCTATCTAGCTGCCTCCTCCCTTTGGAACTGCGTACCCAAGCACATCAGAGACCAACCCAAACTTCAGAATATAACTGACTTAATTTCTACAATGCAGTTAAAAATGACCTAACATCGGCGTAGCAATGAAGATGAATTCTATGTCTCCTAATGAAACCATCCGACCATAACTCAAGGGACTTTTAATAGAGTGAGTCCTAAATTCAAGCCTTGTGCAATACCAAAGTTCAAATTTAAACTTTATGATGGGAAGTTTGCCACATTTACAAAGAGTCTTTCTATAAGTGAGACATAGGTTCAACCGTTTGAGGACAATTTCAGAAAAGTTTATATGTCTGAGCATGTCTTGTAGGTCAGTATGGTAAACAATAGTAAACACTAGTAATTTTACTGAAAACATTTTTTTTTTATCACAGTTAATATTCAAGGGTATCTATGGATGTTGGCTGCAGTGACATCACAGCCGAAGGGTGGGAAAAAAATACCATGAGTGGTTTAATCCCCAATATGTAGATTTTTGTACCTCCTTATGTTTCATAAAAAAAATTACATGTGTTTGTCAGTCACCTAAAATCTAAAATTAGATGTTGACATTTGACTCAAGACACTAAAAATCGCAAAATGCAATTTCTGCATTGATAACAGTTTGATAAGTGTGATTAAATTGAAAACAAGTGCCGCTATTTGACAGTTACATTGGATTTACATGGAGTTTGATGACATCAATAACAAAAACATGCAGGAGGCATTCAAATCTTTCTTTGTTTTTACCGTCTAATTATTATAAGTGTTCTCGAAGTAACGGGCAGGTGTTTCATTGCAGCATTTTGTCAAGAGGAAGATGAAACTGATGGCACTTTTACACCTGAACCAACAAAAACTGTGGAGAATGCGACCACAGGTAAGATCCAGAAACAAAAATACTAACTCATCGTAAACTGACAGATTTTACTCAGTTACTCTTACTGTTGCAGACGTTTTATAAATAATAGCCATAAAGTGATAATCTTATTGAAGACTTTTGGTCATGAAAGTTTGCATATAATGAAATCCTGAGAACAAGAGAGGCATCATCAGGGAATAGATTATGACCCACAGCCGGATAAGAATGGAGTCCCTCTTCCCCCTGCTCCTCATATCCTAACCACACTGATGGATTTTTCTTCTCATGGAGATGAAAAGTATGAGACTGCACAGAAGACCTTTAAAGCCCCCATGCATGCAGTGTGCATGGACATCTAAGCAGATACCTGCAAAGGCTGGATAGGACACTTAAAAATATATTCTCCACACTGCATCGCAAAAAAAAATAAAATAATACATTATGATGTGGATGAGTATGTGTCCCAACAGACATAAACATCAGAAGGTCTAGGGGGTTTGCACTGTACTTCCTGCAGCACTTTATTGGCAGTTTTCTATTAATAGATTGTCCTTGTTCACATTTCTACCTTTTTACTTATACAATGCAGTTTTTTCTTTTTTTTTTTGTTATTTCACAAAGACATGGTCTGTCAGCAAATGTGATTACAAACTGTAAATCTGCAAATGTAAATCTGGTCCAGTCTGTTGCAATCAATCTCCCACATTCAGTAGGGTGCGTCTCACAGTTTACCATGATTATCTTCAAAACATCAACCATACCCCGCTAAGGTACATCCTAATACTGACAGCAATCTGACCGGCTAACCCAAATATAACACAAGGTCTCATCACTCTGGTGGAATTAACATGTTCAATTTTTTTACATTTTAAAGATGAAGTAAAGATTTTTAAACAAGAGGTGGACTTTTGCAGGTAATCCAAGGTGTTTTGCTATAATTCTGATTGGTCTTGGTCGTATTTGTTGTTTTGAGAATGTTAAAGGGGTCATAGAATGCTAAACTGAGTTTACATTGTCATAGATAAATAGCGATAGTTCAGTGGGTGAAATGGACATACAGAGAAGTTCAAACCCCATCGACACCTCCTTTCTCTGCAAATCTCACAATTCTAAACTTCCACCATAAAAAGGCCGACTCCAAATGAAGCCCCGAGTTGATGTAAACTTGTCCTCTATGAGCCGTCCTCAGCCGGAGAAGGGGGGCTGGTAAGGCAGGACGGGGGAAGCACGGGGCTGCCTGTGTCCAGGCTACCGTCACCGGGTCAGGGTCGGTCGCTCCGTCCCCTGCTGGCTCCCAACCCCCCATCCGCTGGGGTTTGTAGTACTGTAGTCGACTCTAAATTCCGGATGATTTTGAAATTCTAGTTTTTTTAGGTATGAAAAGTAGGACATGTCCAGGAGAAGGAGGACATCTGGTCACCCTACCATATCAACAATTTGATGCTTCAGTGAGTGAGTGCTTGTTGCAATGATTCGTCTTTGCTCAGCAGCTTTGCTCATTGTAAACCAACCAATCAGCGCACAGCTCATCTAAATATTCATGAGCATACCATAAAAAAAAGAAAAACCTGTCGTTTTTATACTAGGGCTTTTAAACAGGGTTGCATTAGGGCTCATGGAACAGCGAATATACCATTTTCAGGCCAATCAATGTAACACACCGTATTCAGAGACCTTAAGCACCAGCACTAAATACCCTATAGAATCATTCTACGACCCCTTTAAGGATGATTTCAGAAATGCACCAAAGCAACTGAAAGAAATGGTAATATAAAAATAATCTAGAAATAGGTGAAAATGTAAAAGATAAATAATTGTATTTACCCTTAAATTGAGTAGGTAAATAAGATGATTTCAAATGAAAATATTAGTCTTACTCTTAAAATAAGATAATTAGATAATATGCTCTCATTTGTTTACTTGTCCCATTGGCACAGTGTCTCACTTTCCTCCTCAATTCAAGAAAAAAAAAATCACTTATTTTAAGTAAACAATTACTTGTTTATATTTTATTTTTTCAGTGTAAATTTGTTTATAGGATAGGATAGGATAGGGTAGGGTAGGGTAGGGTAGGGTAGGGTAGGGTAGGGTAGGGTAGGGTAGGGTAGGGTAGGGTAAAGTATGGTAGACTTGACAAATAGCATCAAGAAAGTGTTTTTTTTCCTCAGAAAAAAGGTTTGCTATACAACCTGCATACTTTTTAAGTTTACCGAAGATATAATAAAATGATTTTATGATTTTTAGTGTCCGCATATCTGAAATATGTCTTTTAGCACCTGTTTCTATTTGTATGATGGCTGTCCATAATGTGCATTCACTGTGATTTAAACTAAGAAGTGATTCCAAAAATGATCCAGAAAAGTAGATTATAACAATTCAATGGAACTTAAGCTACAGCAGAATTGGTCTTTTGAACTTGGTGGGTCTCCCTCAACATCATGACAATGGATTATATCTCAATGACATTTCTGTATGGATGTGCAACATTTATTCTTCGTTGCGCTGTGTGACATAAACTAATAGAAATATATTTTGGTTGTATAATTTTATTCAGCTCCTCCGGTGAACACTTCAGAACCTGGTAAGTATTCTTCTCATTGTATGATTGTTTGTGCCTGATTCTGTTTTGATTCACTGTTGCTGTATTTAGATACAGCTTCTGGTTCAGGCGATATTGGTGAGTCAAGCTACTTGTTTTACCATGCCTTACAACATAATATCGATACTTCTAAGTAATTCTAAGCATATTACTGACATCAATGTCAAAGTGCTTAAATGTTTCTAATTCCCAAATCAGTTGGCTTATCCTGTCTTTTCTCTGGCAATGTTCAGCAGATGAACAGGCAGTAAGTGATCAAGGTGTTTCAGGTACAACAGTTTCACCAGAGGAACCCGATTACACCACTTACATCCTGATTGCTGTGGTTGCGGTGGTCGTAATCGCTGGAGCGATTATTTGTGGCATTGTCATCATGCATCGGCACCGTCAGAAAGGGGGGAACAAAGGTGAGTCTGATACAACCGGGAACACATCATCACATTGTCACAGCATGGAAGGAATAGATATTAAAATGTTTGTTGATATACCATATCAAATATCATGACAGATTAAATTATTCAAAATATATATATAATAAGAAAAAAGTAAAAAGCTGTAAAAATGATCTAATACTCTTATACTCTCATTTCAAGTCGGGACATAATCTCTAGAACATTTAGCAGCAGTTGTTTTTTTTTTTTCCCCTCATTTTTTCAGTCTCTTATGTAGCTGAAGAGAAATTTAATCTTCTTTAAATCCTTGGTTGAACTCAATTAGTCTTGCAAACATTTACTATTCTACAGCTGTCTTAATTTTACACCAAAGCATTTTGATGAGGCTGCGGTTTGTAGTCTAACAAGCAACTAAAGCTACATCTATAAATGATTGTGTTGCTTTCTTTTCTGCAGTATAGTGACCCAGTTTGGCCCTATCTATAGCTGTCAGTCTAGATTACTTTGGTGTACAGAGGAGTTTGTGGTCCACTCAAGGCAGTTTCCCTGGTAACATGGCTGCCAAACAAGCCCAAATAATCACACCCCCATCTCTGTGTTCTGGAGTTAGTGAGAGGTGCATGATAGCTCATCCTTCCTCAGTACATTGTTCTTTAAATTAAGTTAATTTAAAAGCAGCTTTGTAGACCGAAGTTCTGCCGTCATGTTTTTTTCTTTTAGAGGAGCCGTTCAAACAAAACCACAAGTGTTCAGTTTTTTCCTGCTGTCCTGTTGTGAACTTTAACAATATCATCTCTGATGGCTCTGAGTTTCTTCAGAGGTTTAAACAACGTCATCTCTGTTGGTTACATTTTATAGTCTATTCATACATGCTTAGGCTTGGTTACTTTGTTTATTGTGTCATTTATTTTGTTTGTCTATTCAAATCATTTTAAATAGATTAGTACTATTTCTTCAGAATGGGTTTATCTGTTCAGAATGACCTTAAAAACCTTTCCATTCAGATTCAGGAGCAACAACAGCCACTCTATTGTCCATTGCTGTGTTTTTCCTTTCCTGCCAAGGAAAACAGGCACCTGTGTGTTTGATGTGATCAAAGTACCCGACTATTTGCTTTCCATTCCATTTGTGAATTAAGTGCAAGGCCAGATCACTTTTATTATCGCCTCTCCTGGAGAGGCCTTTTTTTTTATTTTTACGGAATGACTATGACCTGGATGACTGAGAACCTTCATCAGCATACTGTAAATCATACCCTAAAGACTTGACTTGGTCTGGTACTTTCTACTTTGAATAGCTTCAGCTGTGCGTGTTTTCCAAATGGATTAACTTAATTTATGGCCAGTGACGTAGGTAGATTATTAGGAGATGTTAATGGCTCATAACAGTTTGTTTATGTAAGTTTTAACTTGCTGATAGGGGCCACATAGATGTCTCTCCAACTAAATGTATCATTTCAGAACCAAAATAAGCTTAGCTTATCTCACAGTTAAGCTGCCTAACCATAAAGAAACCTCTGGCTGGAAATGTTCAAATAAAACTACTTTGTATTCAGCGGATTCAGAAAATACTCATTTATTTTCTAACGCTTTGGCAACAAACCTGATAGAATGCAAAATGTTGGTCTACTGATCAGCAGCTGAATTTGTGGGGGTGACTTATGAGCAACATAGCAGTTATCTTTAGCGTGTTTGCCTTGTTTGAGTATGCAGAACATATGCTGATTAGAAGAAACAACAAAACAGGGGAGGATATGCAACGGTAATCACTTACCATAGATTTATCAAACAGTCTGTAGGTGCAGTTTCTGTGTCTATATTTAGCACACCTGAAAGTCAGAAGCAAACTCACATCCTAAAATCTGACATTATTATAGCGAGAAGGAGACTAAGGTCCAATAACAGACAGGATAGAGACAATCTGCGTGCATCTGCAGAGGAGTGGAAAGTTCTGTGTGGCTATGGCTGATTTTCTGGGGTTTTGAAACCTCATAATCTGCAGCTGCTACTTTCCCATATCGTTGTTATTATTTAAGTTGTGCATAAGGTGGTACGATCATTGTTATGAAAAAATAAAATAAATGTTCTTTCTTCTGTTTTGTCACCATGCATTTGTTGAACTGTTCCAGAGCGTCTGCTGGGAAGCTAGTTGTTTTTACCTTCTTTTTTAGGAGCTAGGCTCTGTAATATTGTCTTTAATAAAAGAAAAGAAAAATTTTAAACACATTAAAAAAGGAAATTAGGCTCTTTCTTTAAGATCCAGACCTGTATCCAATCATATTTTCATCTGTATCTTTAATTTGAACTTCAGTTTGAAAAGTGGTTTCAAAAATGGTTTGAAATTCTACAGCTGACAAAAAGAAAACTCTTCAAGGCTTTTTAAGAGTATAAAATAAAGTTGACCATATGAACAAACATTAAGTTAGTCAATAAGTGACAAAAAGCATGAAAAATCAATATTATCAGCTTTTAATTTCCTTCTGGTATTTCTATTAGAGGAAAAATGCCCATTTCCATTTCTAATTGTTTTATTGTAACATTTGATCAATTTAAATGTTATTTACTTACCAAAATATTCTTGTCATAATTAGGACTTTATGACAAATAGTGCAGGTTTAAATTCCAACCTAGCGTGATAGAGAGATGGGGGTATGCAAGGTATTTATTTCAGTCATTATAGACATAAGAGTAGACTTAAAGTGAAAAAAACAATCCTTAGCAAGATCTCTGCTTCTGATATATAGAGCCCTTAAATGAAATAGCTTCTGTTTTATTTCCATAAATGCAAATTATCCTCATGTTATTTCAACATAAAGCCCCCTATCAGCCACAGAGCTGTGAATGTTTCTGTTTTTAATCTCAGAGCACAGGCAATAAAAGAAGTCAAACCAACTCAACAAAGTATTTTTAGTCAAAATATCTGAAAAGGAAATGACTCAATTTGTAAAACCTCATCTGATATTTTGAGGTTTTTAATCACAAACCAACATGTATTTAAAAATAAAATGCATATGCATTTATTCCCAATTTTTCCACAGAAGCACCTTTTTTCTGCAGTGAGAGCTGCAGGTCTTTTGGATTATCTAGTGTCTAATGTTTCACATCTGCAATGACAACTGTTCTAATGCTTCCTTTTAAAAATAGTTCAAGCAGTCCTCCACCAGTCTTTAGGTGTTTCTATCCTCTAACAGGTTCTCTTACTGGGCTGCCCTGCTTTTAACTTTTAGCACCTTCCAAACCAGCCTCCTAGTCTCTGCCAAAGAAATGCATCCCCTCAATAAAGAGCAGCCACCATCATGTTTTACTGTGTGGGTTGTGTGTTCAGTCTAATACTGTCATTGCACAGCTAGTGCGGCAATAGTTTTGTGCCACACAAACAGTAAAATTTTGGTCTCATCTGACTTGTGCAACTTATTCTAGACTTTCTTCTATCACTCTTTCATTAGGGTCGAATCAGTCTAGGAAATCAACATTCATACATATTGGCAGATTCGCCTTACTAATATAACCAATTGTTCTGTTAAAAATGACCTTTATATGTCTTCTCCTCCAGAGCTTAGTAAAGTGGACCCTGTTTTGGATGGATCAAGCACTGAGAAGGTGCCAATGTAAGTTAGAACCAAATGCCTGCACTAAGAGCTGTTGGCTATCATGCAAAGAAGATTTTTTTTTCTTTTTTTAAAGTGAATGTGTAATTTCCTATTAATGCAACCAAACTGTGAGCAAGACAAGTCATGTGCTCTTGTGATTATTTCTCATAATCTTCTTAGGGTTTCAGAAATAAAAATAAAAAAACTCCTGTGCTTACATATTTGTTTCTCAGGCCAATGTTTGAAGAAGATGTGCCATCTGTGCTGGAGCTGGAAATGGACGAACTGGACCAGTGGATGAAGAAAGATAGTAGGTTTCATCTCTTTAATTAAGACGGGTGAAAGGCATCAACAAGTAGAGGGATTTTTGAAAGACAAATAAGGGTTTCCTCTCATAATCAATCATAAATTGAACATCCTATCAAGTTTTTCGAAGGTAAAGAGGGGCAGCTTTATGTGATGCAATAATTTGTCCAGCAGAGGTCACTGTTGCTCTGTGTAAACCGATCAACCCTTAGCGCTCTTGATGTCTCTGTCGTTTTATTCACCCCTCTGTAAGTAAACTTTAATTGCTACAGTTTTATACGAAAAGGCAACATATAGCATATTAATTCTTTTAAAAAGATGTTCAGTGCTTGATGTTAAATCCTCTATGAGAAGAAAGTATTTCAAATGCAGGTTAAAAACAATGAATTACTTTTTTTTAATCAATTAACAAAAAAATCAAAACGGCCGAAACACAAAAATGTGCTTGATAGTCAGATAAAAAATGTGTGCAACCTTCCTCTAATATCCAATCTAACCGTCTCTGACTAAATAACTACAGCAAGAGGATTTTTGTTGCCATCTGCTGGGTTCTTATATCAGTCTGAGGAACTCCTAACTTTAAGCTGTGAGGTGTTTGAGTACTTCCAGCATCAGTCACTTCCAGCTATCATCAGTAAGTTTCAGGCAATGACACAGAATCTTGAAGCTCTTACGCAGTTTACTGGTATAATTCTGAGGTCAATATATTTTAAGTTTAGATTAGGGTTCCTCAGTTATATGTGCCTTTGCTTCAGAACACCTCAGCCGTGTACATCTGGTCCTTAACAGGACGCTGTAGAACTTGCGGTATGCTGTGAGGTAATTGCACCATATAACTGAGCTGTGTTGAAGCTGAGAAACACCTACAAGATGCAGAACATTGAACTGAAAGACTGGAATGAGGAACTCTGTTTTAGAGGCTTCAGTCCTGCTTCAGCTTAACTTCTCAGTATTTGCTATGCTTCCTCTGATATTTGGTGGAATCCATTGTGGATTCTGCAAATGTGAGCTGGCCAGGTCCTGCTGCAGCAATGTATCCCCACCCATGACACTTCCTCCACCGTGCTTCACAGCTGGTTAAATGTTCTTTTTTGGGGGAGTTGTATTTGGTTTATTAGCATGTCCTCTGTTTAGGCTGGCTTTCTATAGCTTTCCCATTTTTCTGTTTTGGAGACTTCTTGTAGAATCCTACCCTCTGCTTTCACAGTGAACTTACTTAGGCAGCCAGATCTATTACATGCTTGCAATAGTTGTCAATGTTTTGAACTAGCAGTTGTCTTTCTCAAAGGCTTGGACAGCTGTTAGGAACACACCAAATTAAATTACAGGACAATTCTGCTTCAAAAATTAATCAATGACGTCTCCTATATGAACCTGATAAAATATTCTTGGGAGTCCTAATTAATTCCCCACCAGAAGTTTTTATAACATTTTGCAGGCATCAATAATTAATTTTTCTAGTTTTCTACAATTCTTCAGCTTTGTTAAAATTTATTTTTGATCTCTATTTCTCCAAAATAGGATGTTCTAAATATTTTTACATGTAAGATGGACACACATGTATTAAAATATAATGTATAAAAATCTAATAAAATTCATAAACATAAAGTATTACTTCAACGTAGAAGATAATAATCTAATGTGTGGCTTATTAACTGTTCTTCGCTTTGTTATTGCTATCTCATGCCTTAATATCCTTTAAAAATAAACTAATTGCTAAGTATTACAAATAAAACCCCACAGGTTGCCATCAGTCTATGGGCCTACTTATCTGTGGTTTGAGGTTGACAAACAATAAAAAAGAACAGTTTGTCTAAAAACAAACAGATAAATAAAAAGGGCCTTTAGAAAACCTTAAGAACTGTTATTCAAAACCACCTTGAAAGCTTCTTGGAGGTCAGATCTAAACAATTAGATTATTTGTTGATCTACAATGTTTGAAGGCCACGTAATGATCTATCAAGGGGAAACCTGCAGCCTCCGCAGCCCTAAATATTAAGCAATATTTCTGATAATAGATGACCTACAGGTTCTCACACAAAAAAGTCTAGAGCATCTCTTTGATAAACAGGCTGTCTTACATTTCCCTGTTTGTTGTGATGCACCAGCTGGTTTCAGTGAGACTGAGACTGATGAACTGTAGACACTTTCGTCATCTCACATGTCTGAGAGCACAAACTCTCATAACATCTGTTAGTGATTACGACAGGCATGCATGCTTGGAAGTGTGGTGCAACTTAACCCTGGAACGGTGCTCGTTTACTGGAAGTGCTGGGAAGGCGAGGTCAAGGTCCGCTCCGCTGACTGTTGACCAACCTCATTTACAGGCTGCTTTTTCTCAGGGTTTTATTTCCAAAGCCGACCAAAGGTTAGCTTTTACTTTGTACACACTGAGTTATGTAATGGATCTCAAAACATCAGTAAATGTAAGGTTGCTGCTGTTGCTGCTTTTGCACAATGCAGTGCCATCCACTGCAGCAGCTGTGCTCCGTTTGTCAAACCTGGGAAATTCCTCTCTCACTACAGTAAAATAGAGCTTCACATTAAGGAGTGAATGAAGCAAATCAGATGGGGCAGAGGCTGATTTTCTAAATTTGTTTCTGCAGAATTTTTCAGAGCAAGTTGAATTAAGCTGTTCATGAATATATAGAAAAAAACTCTCAGTCCAGCATTAAACTGCACATTTCCAGATACTCCTGCAAACCTGAGGCAAGCATGCCCATTCAAGTATCGCAGAGTTGATAGTATTGATAGAATCCTCCACTGGATATTTATTTATTTATTTATTTTGTACCAGCTAATTACTTAAGTTGAAGGTGTGAACGTTTTTAATTTGTTCTCTGCAAAGCTCAAATATTAAATAAAAAGGTCCTGAAAATCAACAATAGACATTCAAAGCTTAAGATGTAAATTTGTCTTACTTATTTCCTTTAGCATGGACAGCCAGACTGACTTATGCTGTGAGCACAGAGTATCAGTCTTGAAAAGAGCAGGACGAGTCTGATTTAAAAGATGGGGATGATGGAGTTAATGGAAACAGTTTAGAACCAATCTAAAAACTAGGGAAGCAAAAATAATCTTTTTAAAAGATGAAAAGTTGTTGAAATATTAAAGATTTTTACAGCTCTCTTAAAACATCCCAAACGGGATAATTTAATCATCGCACAGCAGCGGCTGCAGTCCTGACCATTACATTTACATAAAAATGCTGTTGCATAATGAGCTCACCTTCCGAGCTGTGATGGTCCAGTCTGTTTTAGACTGCAGAGTCTTGAGCCTCACCAGAGCGACTGGTTGGCCACCCTAAGTTAAAAGGTGCATCATGATATAAGCCTTTCATATCAGTTGATGTTAAAAATTACTAATGAGTTTATATTTACCTAATTGAAATAAAGATAAAGAAAAAAATGGATTTTAAATTCTAACTCTAACCCTAACTAAACATATTCTTTAACCTTTAAAACAGGTCAGCTGTACTACTAAAGTTGCTTAGTCTGGCCATGAGATGGTGAGAGGCTTTATCCAGCCCTTCAGAATTAACACTATATCAACTTTTTAAAATCAAAACCTCCACAGACCTTAATGGTAACTGATCCCTTTGTGTATTTTTTAAATATGACCCAAACAGGTCCTTGTTTTACCACCACATCTCAAAATTTTAAAGGCTGGACAACACATGGTTAAAGTATACGTCAGAAGGGTGTAGGTGTGTATAAATTGGCAAATGGTGACAAGAAATCCATTGCCCCCCTAAACCTTACAGGAAATAGACTTTTCATGTCCTACCATCAAAAACAAAAATAGGAAGTTTGCTAATTCCTACTTCGACTCTAACTCGAACTGCGTATGTTGTTCAGATGAGGCTTAGAATAATCTTTTAATATGAAACTAAGGATTAATAGTGTAAGTGGATCTGTGCCAGCTGTTGAGTATGGTGGGGGATCTGTGATGCTGTGGGTCTGTTTCTGATCCTAAAACCTAATTAAAGTTCCATCCATCCATCCATTTTCTTTCATACTTATCCCAAAACCTTCTTGCTGCAAAGCAACAGTGCTATCCACTGCGCCGCTGAGCAGATGGTTTGTCATTTGGGGTTCATAAGAGAATAAGAATCCAAAACATGATGCATGATGCTAGAAATGAGATGCAGGGAAGAGTTCCATCTTTCATAGGCAAGACAAGGCAAGGCAAATTTATATGTATGGTACAATTCAGTACAAAGACAATGCAAAGTGATTAAAATATAGGAAAATAAAACAGAATCAAAGCAAATAGGAAAAAAATAAAATAAAATAAAAATGCAGAAACAAAAAAGACCATTAAAAACAGTTGGACTAAAGAAAATAAAAAAGTTGAACTAATGATGTTTCAGTTGAACTGTTTAACTAGAACAGTCGAAGGCAATACTCAGTGCGGCTTTTCCTCTCAGGGTTACAAGGGTAGCAGGGGTTTCTTTCCAAGAGCTAAAAAATTAGTTCACACACATATATTTGTGAGTGAAGAATATTATATAATATAATAAAATATATGATATTATAAAAGATATAAAAAAAATTCACATAACTTTTTATTAAATATGTGCTTCTAACTTGCTTCTTCAATGTTTGTGAATCTACTGTCAGGAGAATATTCCTGCTTTCTGTAAGGATCCTGTTTGTGTACTTTAGTGGTATGCTGTCCTTAAATATCCTCCAACATACCTAAATCAAATGAGTGTCTTGTTACAAGGTCGCTACAGAAATTAATGATATGAGGCGTGTTAAGGCAGGTTTGAAATTGAATCTGGCTGAACAGTTCAATTCAGTTTAAGCACTTCACAGAGATTACAGAGATTATTCAATCTGATCATAAAGAAAGACTGAAAGTTTTCCATCCAAGGAAACTCAACTGATTGCATTAAGTCATGGTCTTTGCAGAATTTGCTCTCCATGGATGAGGGACAGCAACAGATGACTGAACTATTGAAAACTTCCATCTAATTAAATATAAATGCTCTTCTGTCAAACAATACCAGCTTAATATAACGCCAAATTGTTCAAAGAATCAAAGTATTTTTTTTTTTTTTAACAGAGGCATATAACATCCTAACATATTTAAACTGTTTCTAGAGATTCAATCAGGTCAATGCATGTGACTGATTTGGAGTCAGAGGAAACATAATTTGTTCTTGTCATAGATTAAAGAGCCACACTTAAAAAGCACTTTGACCATTTCCAGATATTTATTGACCAATGCATCACTTATGTCAGTCTATGAATTACCATGCATGTTTATGCATGCGTTTGACACAGTGCATAGCTTTTCTATACTATTGTGTGTTCAAGTGACATTTACCGTTGAAGAGCCTATGAGATGAGGGAAGCTTTGCTTGGTATTTGTAGTTTAGACCTTTATTACAAACCCAATGAATGGATAATTGCTTATCTGGTCATGCTTTTGTCGTCCGTTTCATCCTAAAATGGCTGTTTCTATTCTATTTACCAGAGTTTTGACTACAGATCTGACTTTTGCTCCTTTGGTTTCTCCTTCACAGGTTAAAGGATCCTCACAACCATGATTTGCTTCCGGATTTCCTTTTTTTTACCCTTACCCTAGTTTTTCAATCTACAGGAACATACTTGCTATTAGGAAGCAAGTTTATTTATTACACTGAGCATTACACAGTCAAGCATCCATCTCTTAAAATTACATCTCAGAGCTCATCTAGAGCAACAGCTCCTGGTTGTATTGAATGGAGGTAGACTGCTACTGCGCACACAGTCATCAAGTGAGATTATATCATTTCAAAAATGTGTCACCCATTTCATTTGATTTGATCATTTGATCCCTGCAATTTTTTAAGGAACATTTTAATTTACATTTCTTTCACATTAACCAGACAAGATCCAACCTCCTCATGAAAAAATGCGTCCCCTCTGTCTCTAAATTCACACAGTAAAGCTGTGTGTGTTCAGCTTGCCGTTTAATCGGAAAATAACCTCTCCAGCCCTTACAGATGACAGCTTACAGCTCCCCCGGTGGCTTTTTCTCTTGCTCAAATGTTACACGACTCCCTCCAGCTGCAGGTTGTAATGAAGAAGATTGTAGGCATGCATGACAGAGAACATCTGTTAATCTTTCACAGAACAGCTCAGGATTTATACAGAGAGCATTTTTATTTTAAATCTCTGAATCATTGAAGCGATGAGACTCTAGCTTCCGAGGCTTTTGATAAATTATTACCCTCTTTGCTGAAGCAGCCCTCTAAAAGCCGCTGCTGATAAGATTTCTATTCCTCCACAGATAACAGATGAGTATTTGTCTAAATTATTCTTATCTCCCAATGCTTTTCACAGCTTCTCTTCCCCGGTTTGGCCTTTAGAATAGTTGGATGTGAATGAGTTAACACTGATACAGATGTGAGTTCTTTCAGATTCAGAAAGATTTGCACTGTAAATATTACAAACAGCAAAATATAATATTGTCTTGTAAATATATATTGTATTGAATTTTTTCCTTGTAAAGCTTTTGAATTTGATGATTGAAAATGTCCTTATAAAAAAATGATGTGCTGTGGTGTCTTTTTGTTTTGATTATGAGCTGGATGTATATTAACTTATCCAGAGATTTGACACATTAATCCTTTAAACCTGAGTGTAGTTTTGGTTCGAGATTTGTTGGTTTATAGATTTAACCAAGATTTCTTGGCCTCTCCAGATGACCTTTAATCCCAGCCACAAAAAGAAAAATCTCATTATTTATAAAATGAGATGGTAAAAATGCACAAAAAAAAGCCTGTTTTCTTATCTTGTTTATTTAGTGATTTTATTCATATTTCAACACTCACTTTTAGTCATGACATAGAAAGAATGTGGTAAATGCATATGAAATGAACTTTGGAAAGTTAAAAGCTCTAAATGGATGTATTGATGAATAGATATCAGCATTTAGCCCAAACACTTTTAATATTAGATACTAAATATAGAATCAACACATTGTCCTTTTTCAGGATGATTGTTAAAACCAACCACTGATCGTTCTGTTTATAAACCTGCAGCTTCAGTGTGTGGTCCAGATCCACTGCTGTGCCTGGCTGCTTTCCATCTAATGTCCATTTGTGGAAGGCTGATTACATTCATATCTGAGGAAGGTCTGAGGGAGTGAGAACAGAAAATCCAAAACAATGAATAAAAATTAGGCTTTGACTGCAAACAGCTGTCCTGCACAGTCCGCACAATATCTGACTTATGCCATAAACGATAAATATATAATAGTATATAGAGATATGTTGAATATTCTTTTACATATTTACATTTTATTCAGCATATCTGCGAGAAACCTATCAAACTGCTTTTTCAAGAACATAATTTTGATTTATTTCCTACTAAGGTTAATACATCTGAGAAAGCTTTTAAAGTCCTGGAATCAATAGGAGCTCAGATGACAAATACTTACTTGATCCATTCTCACAGTAACAGACATATATATGATATATATGAACACAAATGATCAAATACACAATGTTAAAAGGTTAGGTAAAGGAAAAAAATAGATACTTAAGATGATGTCGAACCTTTTGAAATCATAGTTACATGCAAAACAGCTCAACGAATTCCCAAAAAGAAAAAAAAAACAATCCACTGGATTTTGTTTCCAAGTTTGAAGACGTTTCGCTTCCCATATATCCTCAAAATATCTGATTTGGATGCAATTTGGAGAAAATGTTTACATTTACATAAAGTTTAAAATACATTTTTAAATACATTTGTTGATATATTTAAAATATATCAATAAATTCAGTTATTGTTTAGGAGCAGCCCCTCAGAGGCCCCAGTAGTAAACAGGTCATAAAACCTGAGCTGAGGTGCTGTGTCATTACAATATTCAAGTTTCTGTGGTTTATTGTGGTTAAAAGAAATAAATTGAAAGACTGACTTTTGTTAATGAATCACATGACCGGGGGAAACAAGGTGATTTAGAGAGGACCTGCAACAAAGCCCTGGAGAAGAAAGCCATGAGTGAAGGAGGAATCAGATTGGGGATGTTTATATGTAAACAAAACTGGACAGTTTCCCACTGAACTCGACTCCAGCAAACAATATCCATTATCTGCTGACAGCAGGCTTAATCGGACTTTCACTGCACCAGGTGAGAAAAAAAAAAAAAAAACTCATATAAGGGGAATGTTTTTTTTCTCCAGAGGAGGGATTCATATATCTTTTTCAGCAAAGCTTCTCTTTGAATTTCCGCCCATCCATTTTCATGGAGATTGAGTCAGGCTCTGCCCAGCTGTTGCTGCCTGTTATTTTATCACTTTATGCATTCTGAGACTACATTAGCTTCCCTATGTGTTTGCTTCGTCAAGCCTTGATGTTACCAAGCCTTGTCAGTCTGCAGCAATAACCTCATTTAGCCTCGCAATGGCAGGGTTTTAGATGCAAACACAACACACCTGGGAATCTATCTGTTTTTGCTATTATAGGAGACTTTACTTTACCTTTGTTATGTCTTTAGCCTTTCTGATGCTTTAGAAAGATTATTTCCCACAGGATTTGGGCAACATCAGACGCATCCGTGTGTGCTTTAAACACTCCTGGGTACATAGATGTTGTGTCCTGCATTTGTTTGAGAACAGTGAGCAAGCAGGAAAATAAGAAAGGCATCAGTTTCCAGGGAGGTGTAAACCCTGTTTAAAATGTAAATGCAAAGGAATACTGAACATTCTCCCTTAGATTTTATTTAGTTATAGGTTCCCCCCAATGGCTAAATCCATGAATATTGATTTAGCAAACTTTTTAAATAGAGCTTAAAACCTACCCCAAAAAATGGCCACTAGATTTAGAAGTATAGCTAAACAGCATCTTCCAAAACAACAACTACTACAAAAAAACTACCACAAACTACTTTAAGAGCATTTAGGAACAAAGTCAGGATATCATAGTTGTCCTTTGTTCCTAGGGTGTGCATTTCATTTCACTGACTGCACGCCGGCCTCGGTTGCACACTTCCCAGGATCACTTGCTTAGTGTTCATGATATCTCTGGGTTTCAGACTCTCCCCAGAGGATCCACAGTCAAAACATAAAAACCCTCTGCAAGCCAAAACTAACCATAGCTGCCACTGCAGGGTTAACTTAAGCCTTACACTAATCCACAACTCAAAAAACGACTATAAATAAGTTAAGCCTTTTTTAACATGCATGCTTCACAAACATTGTGCAAATATAGACTCCTTTCAGGGTTATACATTTTACTTAATATATATTACACTGAATTAAAGATTATTTTATTAGTTAGTGGAGGTTGCTACTACCTAATACTGGAGATACTTTATGTTCACATGTACAGTATTTACAACCGCAAGAATCAAAATGATAATTTTAATGCAAATTAAGATCTTTATAATGCGGGTCTGTTGTGGTCTGGTACACACTCCATAGGGAGAAGCCATTATGATTCCAGATCAGAGTCGGCTGAGGCGTGAGGAGGAGCCATTGATCAGAGATCCGGCGGATGATGGAACTTGTCACCTTTTCCTCAGTTTGAACCCATCAACCACGTGAAGGAGGCTCATTTTACTCTCTTAAAAACACAATCTTTCATTCATATTCCATTCCTCATGACTGTAAATAGGGGTCAGAGAGTAGATATAGATGCAATGGATGAGATGAGATGAAAGAGCTTTTGCTTTTTGGCTCAGTCTATCTTTTCCACATCACTTTGCTGTAAGTCCTGCACTACTGCAAACAAAACCCAAAGCTGTCTATCCATCTCCTGTTGCACCTTCAAGCAGACACCGAGGCGCTTAAGCTCCTCTGTTTGACACAGGAGCCTCACCTCTGACCTGGAGGCAAAAATCCACCTTTGTCTAGTTAAGAACCACGACCTCACATTTATAGGAGCTGAGTCTTATCCCCAAAACATAATGCTGTGGAAACATAGAGCAAAGATGAGAACCTGAGGTTATCAAACCGGAGATCTTTCACTCTAAAACTATGCTTTGAGATCCTGTCCTTGAACATCACTCACAGGAGTGAAGAAAGATGGGAACACTGATAAAGTCCAACCTGTACTGGAGACAAATTTGACAGTAGACAGACGCAGCTCTTGCTCTGACTTTAAAAGGACATCATAAAAAGCTTTTCATTATATATAAAAAAATCACTTCTGAAAAAAAAAAAGATCTAACTTCTGATATTTCTCATCTTGGAGAATTTCAGTCTAGCTTTCATGGCCACCTATCTATGGTCTAGACTCACTAACTGCTGTTGCTGGGACTAGAACTAGAGTTCTAGAGTTTGTGATGAAAATGCCAAAGTTTGCCATATTCTGCAAAATCATTTCAACTACAATCTAAAAGCTTGCATCCTTAACCTTACGCTAGAGCAATTTAAACACACAATTGATCTTGAAAATTGCAAAGTGCGTACAGTGAAGTATAGAGATCAGCTGTTGTGGTTGGTCTAGTCCTCAAAAGAATTCATTTCACTTACTTGTTTATTTATTTATATAGCCCTTTAAAACAGTCAACTAGAGAGCCACATTGATTAACAATGAATTATTTAGAAACAGATGAATAAAAAACAAATGTTAGAAATCTTAGATGAATTGCAACAGGGTTACTGAGATTAAAAGCCATCTCAATTTGGATTTAAATAGACCCAGCAGTTGAGAAGGCCAGTTCATATTTAGTTTTCAGAACATCCAAGATGAACTGGAAGGACGGTCCCAGGATATACCCAACACACAGTCAGTAAATCAGAAATGTAGGTTAGGGCCCCAATTTTAAAGAGGCATAAAAAATTGATCTATTGTAAAACAGACAGGCAGCCTTTAGGGAGAGGATATAGCAGTGATGATATGCTCATGTGCTGCAGTATTTTGGACCAATAAAAGTCTACTAACGAAAATTGTGATATACCAACATAAAGAGTGTTAAAGACATTAATTCCTGAGCCAATAAACGCATAGGATTGTACAGACCAGTTCGGTTTATGGAAGAATTAAGTACAACTGCTTGAATAAAAAGGTACTTGACTTTGTTGAAGAAATGTTAGTTCTCCTTCAAAACCATTCAGATGGGCTCTACTGCCTTTCTAGATGCCATTCATTCTTAAACTTCATGTGGATCTTAAAAAGTGATGGTTCTGTATACAGGGTGAAAGTTAAAGAAGTAAAGAGCAAATGATGTCTGGATCAATCCAGCAGAGTTTGGAGGATGTCGTTATGGAGTTTTGGATGAGACACTCCTTCATTCCTCTTTGGTATGGAGACAGACCCTAGAATCGACAGCAAAGTGCTGCAATGTGATTTAAAATCTGCTGAGAAAATGATCAACAGCCTCCTCCCTTCCTCTGATGTTTCTTTTTCTGTTTTGCCTGAAGGTGCAGAAGCAGGGTTTCACCCCACCCATGCTACACATGAACTCCCTAAACCCCACCAGAACAGAGGTTAAGTAGATTCAAATTCTTTTCCTCTTAATATTCAGGATTTAAAATGTGTCTACTGGCTATTTTGTCATTCAGATTTCAAATTCCAGAGTACACGATTTGAGCTTCTCCTGGCAATTTTTGACCAC